ACAAGTTACTGGGGTAATTAATTGATATTTTTATTACGCCTAGGGTGGCATAAGTTGGGGGGTTGTTGGTACTTCCGGACTATTTTCCATTTTCCAGAAAATTTGTCCGACAGGTATTCACGCACGATTACACGGCGTTGTGCGCGGGTCCACCATCCTGTTGAAACCCCAACACTTTCCCCATTTTGTTTTTTTTTGTATGCCGTACATCGTTGTATATGCCTAATAAACAACTATAAATTGTGCACAACTCCTGTGCAGATAAAGCGCATTTTTTTAACCGAAACAGCTTAGTAAAATGCTACTCGATACAGTATATACTTCTTTTACGGGCCATATACAAAAATTAAGTTAATGATTTCTCTGAGACCTTTCGTTGTATTGAAAATCTCTCAACGTAGTCTCAAATAGTGGTAAGGAAAGTGTTTTTTTTTTAATTTTTTGTATCTGTTCAAATATCATCATAAAAAACAGAAAGTTTCAGTTTTTCTGGAAGTAATCGGAACTTTATGGTTTACTTCACAGCATGATAATAACTCTTTAATTGCCCATCTTTTCTCTAATTTGAGCATCCTCGTATCTTCTATGGTTTCCCAGATCCCCACGAATCATGATAGACATCCTTATCTTGGACACTCTGTGTAGTGTATACGTTTTGCATAAAATGCTGATATTTGTTTATTGAAGCATGGCGTGCTCCAAGCTTTTGTTTTGAGTACCGTTGCTGAATCATGTTTGCTTGTTTATAGTGTACAGGTGAATATGCGTTTGCATCATTTTATGAAACATTTATACTGTGCGATAAAAAATGAGTTGCTGTGTCACCTTTGGAACTTTTGTTTACATGGGAAATCGTATTTAACTTGAACTTCCAAAGGCGACTCGACAGCAACTCATTTTTGATCGCCCGTTATATGTATGTTCTGATTCTTCACTGTATATGTTGCTTTCGCTATCGCGTCCTCGCTACCGGGCGGTTCTTAAGAATACGAGAAAATGAGAGGAGGGGGGGGGGGATTCTAATTAATTCTATTCTGTTTATGTGGTTCTGTTTGCGAATTGAATATTCGTTTTTTATTACAATTCTGTTTTTTAGTTTCTATTTGATTTATTTCTATGGTTCATAATTCATTAATCAATCTATATATATTTTGGTTTCGATCCGTAACCATCTTCAAGGTTGTTCAGGGTGTCAAAATTTGAAGTCATAACGGCTTGAAATTTTTTTCGCATACACTGGCCAAAATGGCTTAAAAAACTTCATTACAATTTTTTTGTGAGTTCCTTTGTTTTTGAGAAGTTTTGAATTGAAAACTTAAACTATTTATTTTATTTTTCTAACTTTCATTTTTCTCTAAAAGTAAGCATCAGAGTGAAAAATGTCAATTACAAAAAAGATGTGTCTTGCGGAGGTCTACAAAAAAGAATTCTACACTTTTTGCGTCGGGTTCAAAATGAAGGCGCTAGAGGGCATTTTCTAAATGTTATACTATGACCAAAGATAATTGCAATGACTACTAAAAGTAGTCGGAAAGTCAAGTCAGGAGTTTACCTGACAACTAGTTTTAAATGCTTTTGTGTTTAGAAAAATTTTTTTGTAAAGACTTCTCATCCTTCAACTCTTTACTAACTGTAAAAAAGCAAAAAAATAATAATACTAGGGGTGGTGCGAATTTTGTTTAATAATTTTAGTGTGCCGCTAGACAAAAAAGTTTGAGAAACACTGCCGTAGATCATATATACATAGATGTAACATCCCATTTAATTTACTTTCATTAAGGAGCATCTGTGCCAACATACCTAACAAGGACAGCGATATATTTGCCACCGTAAGTACAACACCGCACATGCGTAATAGCATTTTAACACATGAGACTACCCAGAATTTAAAATGCAGCGAATGATAAATCTAATTAAAAACCAATTTATTAGCATACAAGGTCATCGAGGATTTAAAGTGTGCCCAGTGCGATCAAAGTTTTCCCTTTCCGATTGTGTCTCACGTTCGAACACATAAAAAGAACCTCCATAGTACACACAACGTACCACCGTTCAGTAAAGGAATCAGGTAGAAACGCAAACTCCATAAGTCAGATCGTAGTAACTTTTATCTTTTACTAAGCATTTCTATTCTCTATGCAACGTAGTGGAAGTCTGGAACGCCGACTAGAAACTTGGCGTTGGGATCTGAGATTCCATAAGCGCCGTGTAAATCTCAGATCTTAAGTTCTTGAGGATTTCAAGTATAGACATTTCGACTCTACTTGTAACGGTTGTCCCAAAATTAACGCAAGATTTGAATTTGCCGCCATTTGTGCGGTGAAGTGTTGGCAACCCTGAAAAAAAAGCAATTTGACAGCTAACAGTATAGGGTTATTAAAAATGGAGCGTTACACGATAGAACAACGTGTCTTCATTATTAAAGAATATTTCAAAAATAGTGAAAGCTTGGCGGCTGCAGTTCGAAAATTTCATACAAAATATGGTCGGAAACCCCTTCGTTTTCTTTGATTTGCTCAATAAACAATGTTGAGAAATTCATCCCTGCATAGAAATCTCTGCGTTTATAGTAAATGCACTTGGGTGTATGACGCTATTAAACTCTGCAGTTCGGATAAAGAAATTAAGCATTACCTTAATCAAGCGTTAAAAAAAAATTGGAGTAGTCCAAAAGTTTCCACAAACATAAAAGTTAATTTCGTGGAAATGTCAGAGTCCACATTTCATCATTCATGATTATTTATTATTATTAAATTGGGAAGAATTTACCGATCTACAATCGGACGTGACTCCGGAAAAATGCGCATGTGTTACCCGCTGGGATTTAAAATTGCTAAAAAATTAAATTTCATGAGTATGTCGATCCTTTATTTAAATAAGAAATAGCCTACAATGAAAAATTAAAAGAGCCAAGGTTATGTATTTTTTAATTTATAAAAAAATGGTCTGCCACTTTGAGTGAAAAAATAGTTAATACAGAGCGTAGAAATTTGAAAAATATGCACAATTGTTCTGTGGGGTTCGAACGAAAACCCTCGTTACGTTCTCTGTGTCTCGTGAACGTCCCTAACTTTAAAAGTTATATTTTTCAAATCGCAGCGGGTAACACAACGCATGCACGTTTTTACGGAGTCGTGGGGCTATATGCAGGTAGGATCTCGGAATTCAAATTCTTTTCCTCATAGAGAGGACTTTGCCAGTTTCATATCGACCGCAAGTCTTAGCATCAGCAGCCTGTAACATCGGAATGGGGAAGAATCACTTTCCGCATTTTTCGCAACACTCGCGTCTTTCATGGCCCGCCGATCGAGCGATCAAAAATGAGTTGCTGTCGAGTCGCCTTTGAAAGTTGGAACTAAACAAAAATTCCAAAGATGACTCGACAGCAACTCATTTTTGATCACATAGTACAGCGCCCACCTTTTGCATCGAAATAGGGAAGGATCGCTTGTCGCACCTTCCACTTGCCGCTTTTACACGGTCCGTCTTTTTTGTATCGACTACAGGTTAAGCTTTTTGTGTTGAAAACGTTTAGCTAAGTTACCCGTTAACAATGTTTGTTAATTGCATTGCCACATCTGATGCGATTTTCATAATTTAATTCTTTTTAATTGGAGGATCGCAAATGGATGTTTTTCCCGTACGGAAATACCCCGTAAAAGAGCTCAAATACCATGTATTTTTTTCGCTTTTCGAAATTCGTTAGTTGAATTATGATATTTGGAAATCCGATTTTCCGTGTCGGCTAAATTCAGAGAAACGGCCCCAGTTCCACACCATTGATTGAGTAATCCTCAAGATCGACTAAAAATAATGTTCATGCTTAGGGCAAGTCAATTAATTTCAATAGCTAAGTTTCTCTTTAATTTACATGTAATAATATCCTATTTTATAGCATCAATTGAAACAAAGAAGACTTCTAACCTCAATACAAAATCTGATATTAGAAGTGAAAGTGGGATTTTTAGCGCAGTTTCGTTACATTTCAATATTAGAAAAATATATGCATCCATTAGGATCATAATCACGACTACGAAATCACGTCTATTATTTATTACACCTTCATTTTGCGAATCGCATATTAATGTGCCTTCATAACTTTTGTTGGTCTAAATTATAGTCCTTTTGCTATTGTTTAATAATTGTCCCCAGGTATGGTTTCCGATTGTAAATTGCGCTATTTTTAGCTGGGGATACTTCCAAGGACAACCGGCCGCAAAGTAATTCAAAACTTAAGACATTACTCACTACTGGCACCTTTTGCTGCGAATAAATTAAGGTGGGTGTTCGCTTTTTCCGTAACAACTCTGTGAAAAAATCTAGTGACTTCCACCTGATACCACGACAAACAAATTGTGTAATTATGTCTTTCACAAAAGTAGATTGGTTTCTAAACATTTTTTGAAGCATAGTAATTAGACTGTGGCAATTAAAAAAATTGGTAGAAATTATACCTACGTAATTGAAAAACCGATAGCGTGTAGAAAGTTGTGTGCTACTGGTAGAGAAAAAGTGCCAATTTATTGCTGAAGTATTATTTATTGCAAAACAATAGTAATAAATTAGATATATACTAACCGTATCTTTTGAGTTAAAGCATTGAACTCATAAAGAAGGCTAAGAATCTGGGGCACTGGTTTTTTGAATCTTCTTCTTGGATTTTGAATTATAGTGTAGGTGAAGCATAATAATCGAAATTTCTCTCGCATCTTCCCGAACAGGAAAGGTTAACGGTTAATTAAGGGCAAGAGAAATCGCCGCGTCAATAAAGACCAACTTGGGATTGTCACGTTTCTATTACGAAATTTATTTCATTTGCAACACTTCTGCACTCAATCACATCCTCGCCGTGTAAAAGACGAACAAAGTCGTGCCGCGCGCTTCCCAAAGTGGGTCACACTTCTTGTAAATTCAAATTCAGCCTAATGGAAATTACGTGTACAGGTTGCGTAATCGACAGACTTTCAATTGAGCTAGGAAGATAAAAAAAATAATCTTACCGGTGGCGGTTCCGAAGAGTACACTTCGGAGGGTGCGTAATCAGCCTTCATCGGAATAGTTGCAATCGACTCCGGTTGCTCTTTCTCCATTATTCTGTTAATATAGTTCTCCAGTGGAACTAGAGAATGCGCGCGATTTAATACGAGAAAGTTCCGGGTTGCACTATGAAGATGTCCCCCAGGTGTTCAGGTAAACTGTACGTTAATCACCGATTGCTGCAACCGACTGGTGAAAGAGCTGCAAGTGTTTCAGCCTTGTATCCTCTCACTATGCCCCTACTACCATGGCACAATATCCAAATCGAGCTTAGATAGGTAGGTATAGTTCACAAAGATTGTTTTATTATTATTTTTAATAAGGTAACTTCCTTGAATAAACGCGGAACGTTTATAGTAAGGCGCACGCTTTTACTAAACAGCAAAAGGCCATCATTCGCGCTCGTCGTTGACACAGAACCTCAAGGATTTCCTCTTCGGGCGGAAAATAATGAAAAATACCCAGTTAGTTATAAATCATTAACAAACTTAATTTTTTATACATAAAAACGAAAAAATGTAGGCCATGGCTGAGGTGCGCATTAGTGTAATTTTCTACACGCGAAACGCTGGGAAAATTATATTCAGCTGTAGGTACCATTTTGCCTTTCTATTGACGCTGTAAGATGATGCTTAGCTTGCGGGATCTAACCATATATTGACCTTCTTAGCGAGATTTTTAAGCTGAACTTTACCGGCCTAGTCTGCTGAGTGCTAGTTGTCATCCCCATCCGAATGTGACGTAGGCAGGTCCTATAATCGGTGCAGCTAAGCGCCAGTGCAGTGACCTACAGAAGTGAATGGAAACATTTCTAATAGCTAACTTCCTCACTCATCTTCATCTGAGAAGGTCAATCGTAACATGAATTACTAATAGTGTTTCCATCTTTACCAGCGTATGGATACAATGTTTTGAGAACCTCTTCGTCTCTGGTCTCGGGCCAGTAGGTTCGCAAATTATGTATTGTTGTTACTTTCACTGTGAATTTGCAGTTGTAAAAGGGAAATGATTGATGATCTAAGCTGTTTTGACGCTCCTCATCTTACGACGAACGGCCGATAGTACCATTTTGGAAAGTGTTTCATTCAAGAAAAGCTATTGATGAGGATTATAGTGTATTACTTTAAATTATCATCCGGTAATACTAGGTATCATCAGTCCTCTTCGCGGATTATCTTTTGACCGTTTGAAATTTTCTTTAAAAATTTTTCATCATTTTCATCGATAGACGTTTTTCTAAATGAAGATATTAAACATAAACAATGAAACGATACAAGGAAAATTTAAATCTTACTATTGGAACGCATCTCGTAGATTAACATCTTTTGATTCCAAAACTTTCTCTAGGTACACGATATCGTTTTTTGACAGTTGATTAACTGTGGAAATGTTTAGCTTCAAAGCTAAAGGTCAGTATTTTATTAGCGAAGTTTAAAATTATCGATCTCACGAGTAATTTTGGCTGCGTTAATGAATTAATTTTATTTAATTTCAATTGAGGGTACGTCTTGATTTTGTAAAACATATCACAAAGTAAATAATTAAGTTTTTATACTGGTAGCGCTATCTAACGGTAAAGTTATAGCACCTCCGAAAACCATATCAAAATTATTTTCTTCAATTATCGATCTCACAAGTAATCTAACTCAAAATAGACTATAGCCTGCACATCTACACTATAGAAGACAGCTTTTAGTGAAAATTTGACCCGAACAGCCAGCCATAACGAATATAATTGATTACAATGCTCAAACGATATTACTGTACCCCACGTTGCGCACCAAAAATTAATGCTGTGTGAAATGGTACGCGGTCAAGATACAACCCAACAGACACCTACCTAGTTATTTCAAATTATCATTATTTTCTTCTCTCTTTTTAAAATTTCGACACAAATAAAATATTAACATTGGCAGAGGTAAGTCAAATTAATATCCAAATTAACAAATCCGTACAAGGAAAGAAAGGTGCTAACAGCCTTGTTTATTTCTTCCTGTTCGTACCTAAAAGTTCCACTCATCCGTTCAGTCACGTAGTTTTCCGGTGCGATTCGAAACACCGCTTCGTTATCTCGTACATGGCGTTGTTAGTGAATAAATCCAATGATTTTTTTCGATAACGCCTTTGCAAAACATCATATTTACTTATTTATGCTACTCAACGAATAAACTTGCACGAGTTAAACAATTACCAAATTTACAATTAAAAACGAAAACTGATATTACAATGACAATTTAACAAATTTTCCAATGTGTGTCTTTTTGAACAAAATCCCTCAGGTCTTATAAATAAATTGAAACATTTTACATACGGGATGTCCTGACTGCTATTTCAAATGCGTAAATCGTAAGTTACATTGACAACAAGTACCTACATTTTCACTAAAGAGTGACTCGCTCTCATTTTCGACATTATTTTAACGTAAAGAAATGGGACGCCCCTGCAGTTTACACAACAATATGTAAACATTAATCCGTGCAAAACTGTGCCGTCGGCATACAACTTTCCAGGTGGATGGACTTTTTTCTCTGACGAAAAACAAATATCGCCGCGCCTCTGCTTCAAGTCACTTGGTCGCAAATATGGACAAAAAAACCTAAATTTGAACATATTCACATATATTTAAGAGAAATCAGATTCAACCTTCATCATTAATTCAAATACTAAGGTTAAACGAAATTATTTCAAGTTTTCACGTTCTTTGGTCATAATAAAAATGGTTACAACCCCTTTTATTATTAATCATAAATGATAAACGTAAATTGGACCAAATTTGAGGACTCTCGTTATTTAATGATAAATTCATTTCAATGGCTTCTAGCTGGACCTTTCATATTTTTTTCATTTTTGAACTGAATCTCTTCTACACCCTTAAATACAAGAAAATGGTTACCTTAATTATAGAGCGATACTAAGGACTACCCCTTGATCGTTTAACTTCGAAGTACTGATTGATCCACTAAGTGCATCCAAATAATTAAAAAGGGCGTACGGTCGATACAAAATCATAGGGCTCGTATAATGAATGGGTCAAAACTAACATGAGACCTCTTGTGTACTGGGGGGCATTCCATACTCCCAGACTCCCCTGTGACAATTTAACCCTTAAAACGTGCAGTCCTAAAGGCTCTTTCAAAAAATGATGATGTAAGTGCTAAAGGTGCTCAATATTTTAGGGAAGGTAGAACCGGGGAGTCATGGAAAACCCCCCAGGAAGAAGGAAGAGTTAAACTTCATTTACCTACAACTGACATAACCCCCCACATAGAATCCCCTCCCGTGATACGTTCATCCTCAATACGTACTAAAGATTCCGGGGAAGAGTTAGAACCGGCGATCTGGTGGAGTATGTAATACCCGCTAGGTTCACCCCCAATACGTTCGGTTCTTAAAACTCTTTCGACAAATTATGGTGCTGAAGTAACTAAACAGGTATTCCAATACCCCCAAAAAAAAGACAATCAATCTTCATTTACCTACAACTGGCATAAGACATTCGTATATGGGAGGTATTGAATAAAGTCAATAAGACCTTTGTACAGGGTGTCCCATTAATAATGGCCACAGGCCATATCTATGGAACCGTTAATTGCACAGCTTCGGGAAAAAGTTTTTGTTAACAAAAGGGGCCAAGAGTAATCGCTGTAAATTATTTTCAAGTTTATAGCTTCGCCGCTAGAGGGCGTACGATTCATGTTTAAGTAGAAAAATGATCTTTTTCTTAAAATATACCCAACATAAAAAACACATGCATAGCAATCTCGTATCAATTTTGCATCATTTTGATGCAGCATATATTGCTCTAGTTCATAAAATATGAGGAGGGTGGGAAGGGGAACATCTCGATTTAAGGAATTGAATGTAACTTTGAATTAGGTTAACACTAACAGATTTTTACATAATAGGTCTTGTTAGAAGGAGCTCTCTTCGTGGAATCAGATTTTACATGAAGAGTTTTTTTTAGTAAATGTGATTAGTGGTAGAGGGCGCGATGTGACATTAACATAAACTTTGCAGGCATGGAACGATACAATTATTGTATGATATTATCTAATAAGATGGAAAAGTGAGAATAACAGCGAAAACAGCATTTTGATATCTGTTTTCTAAGCAAAGATATGGCGAAAATACGAACATTCTCTCTATTCATGTAAAATCTGATTCCACGAAGAGAGCTCATTCCACGAAGACCTATTATGTGAAAATCTATTGGTGTTAACCTAATTCAAAGTTACAATCAATTCCTTAAAGAGATGCCCTTCCCACACCTCTCATATTTTATGAGCTAAAGCAATATGGCCTGTGACCATTATTAATGGGACACCCTGTACATTCAAATACAATCATTCAAAAATTAGGTGATCATAATGTGACTTCAACCAAAGAGTAACTTCAACTTCAATTCGCGTGTTTAATTTACGCTACCCAAACTTCGCTACCGTAAGCGTACGCAATTTCTTCGAAAATAATACATAGTTAGCTTAACCCTGCCTCACTTCTATAGGCACGAATTCTCTTGGAGCAAATAAAACAATCCACGGCAATCTACAGGCGGTTAACTTATCTTCACTGCACAAAATACAACCACTCTACGGTATTTTTCAGGGGACCGACTTAACTGTGCTGACCGCTCGACCTGAATTCTCTCGCGGTTTAACGCGAATTGGTGGACAGATCTTCCCACTACTTTTCTTTTTTGAATGACACCCATTCCTGGAGGCAAACTGTTTCCACCAATAAAACAAATTTTACACAACCCATCAAATTGATTGCCAGCCATAAATCTAGTCCACGTGGAGTAATTTCCCAGTGATCTTACAAAAGCCCCGATAACGCAAAATAACCAAGATCAGTTTATAACAATCAGGACCATATCTAAGAACCACTCGCCCACGTAAAATAACAAAGACATTTTAAGAATTCCTACCAAAAGACTACTATCGCATAAAATCGTCGAAATACAAGTCATAATCGAAAAATAATATTCCACATTTTTTCACTTCACAAACACCCTTCTCCCTCCAAACTTCAGCCCTGGGATTGCGCCCGACTTTCCATTGTTTAGTCGTCGCCTCCTATGACACGCAGTCACGAACTTATAAATTAAGATGGACTGCTAATGCTGCATTGACAAATGACACCTACATGGGGGCAGCCATGATGTGCACTCACATTAACCTCACGTTTTCTAAATAAATTACTGTGACACATGTCATTTTACAAGGCTGCAATAGTCTCAAAACTTGATCACTAGGAAAATTACCCTAGAAAATAACTAAAACGTGCACATCATGGCCGCACCCATGATAGGGCCATTTCTACCTCTATGCAACTGTTTG